TATGCATATAACATAAAAAACATTCGTAAAAAATTTGTATATAATTTAATTTAATATTAAATAGTTTAAAAAATTTCAGTATAAACAACATTTTCTATTTGCAAAGGTTTATTGATATCATTTATAAGAATTTTGATAGATTGGTATAAGGTAATTCTTGATAGGATAACAAACAATTGACTGTGTGAAAAGATCAGCTCTAGCAATTAGATGCTAATTTTATTTAATGTTTGATATTATGCTTTATTAATTATTATAGAGAATGATAGATGGACCAGAAATTGATGTCATTTCAAAATAAATAGTAAATTAGTATCAGAGTGAATCAATATTATGCGAGGTATAAAAATATGCTTTCTGATGTAAGATCCTGTGATAATCTCCATATCAATTACTTTGCTTTAAAGGCTATAGTAAATTAACTTTGTTCTATTACAAAGACTTTCTGAGGGATTTAGATTTCACAAAAGTATAATAGACATTTCTAACTTCAACTTTAATTCACCAGAAGGAAGTCCATTAATCCTTAAAGATCTCTAAAATTTAGGTGAATATATCTTAGGTTGTTCTTCTATAGAATCTACTGAGTCTACACTAGTATAGATATAAACATTGCTTGGTAATCTGTTTCATTACAATATCTGAAATCTTTTTTAAATTAACATTTTTTGACGCTAAAATGGTTTTACCAACCATATAATTTACATTGCCAGAATTTTGTACTAAGTTCAGATAAACAAAGTGATAAGGTCTGTCAAATTTCCTTCAAGTATTATCATATCTGAAGGAAGGGTTATAATATTCTCTATGTCTGGGTTAATAGGGTATTTACCATTTCCAATTTCTAAAAGAAATTTTGCAAAATTTCTTTGATTTTGATTTTCTTGAAAATCGTGCGTTTGATATAATCTCATATTAATCGTTAATCTATCAATTCCATATGATTTTATAGAGTAAACTGATGCAAACTTACTGAGACAATATCAGTGCAGGATGCATGTGGAATAACTGGTAAAATCTTCTTCAAAATCAAAGGTTTTTCCTCTGAATGGTTTGTCTATTTAGGTGATATTGCAAAATGTTTGATCAACAGCTTTAAAGGCAAATTTATACATTCATTCCAAATAAAAAGTTTTGTTATGTTGATCAAACAGGCCTCTTTATTTCTCTGTGAAATGTTACATGTTAAAGACAGATCAAGGTTAATAGAAATTTTGAACTGGAAATGTGCAATTCTACTACTGCTTATTAATAGTGTAGCAATTTCAGAAGATGTTATGGCTAATGCTATATCACTATTTGATCCAATATTAGCGAGTAAGATATTATAAATAAAGATCTTTCCAGTACCACTAGGATCATTTACAAAAACATTTTTGTCTATTTTGAATTACTTGGATAATAGCATTATATATTATACATTGGTCTTCATTTAGTAATTGTATATTTCAATCTAATTCACTTTTTAATTGTATAGTGTTATATAATCTTTCTTTGTGAATCAGTTGATCTAAGTTTTAGGTACTATTATAAATATTTGACATTATTTCTGAAAGTAGTGGCATATTTGTAAAATCTTTTAATGATTTTCATTTAAATACAGGTAATGTTTTAATTGATTAAGTGCCTTATTTTCAATAGAATCACTCACTTTATTATCTTGATTTTTGGTAAATTTACAATTACGATATAGAATATTTTCACATAATGCTGATTTGTGTGTATTCTATAGGTTTTCAGATGCTATTGGTTGCAAAAAAGGAATTGTTGAAAAAGGTATTATAATTGTTGTCCTGTTTGTAATTGACTTACCTCCCGTAAATATGCATCCTATTCAGCATTATCTTGAAATAAGCCTAAACATATGCATGCTTTTTTGAAAGTTCTACACGAATGCTTATTAACAAATTTTAGATTATTAAAGCTGGTAGCATCCTTTACATAAGTAAGCAAGGTTCAGAGATAATATCTCTCACCTTCTAAAGGTTATATCATGTAAAGTCTTCCAATAGCTCTTGTTGCAGTCTTTCAATAGTTTCACTTATAGTGAAACATATCCCAAGTGTAATGAAGTGAAAAATCTATATATTTATATATGCGTGCTATAGAATTTTCTAGATTTTCCTAAAACTAAGCCATTGAGGTTGTTTTATGTGTATTAAAATGTTCAATAATATCTTGCAGATCATTGCCATCTCAGAAAGTAATATTTTGTTGCTGTGAGAGATAAACTGCTAATTTTTGAATGTTTGGAGTATGATTATGCATTTTATAATGAAAAATTCGCTAGATACTTTTGGAAGCAGAAATATATCTAGTATCTAGATACATTTTGATTTTATCAATTAGTTCCGTTTATATATTACTAATATTATTTGATTGAGAAAGGGTGATAGTTGCCTGATTATGACCTTTATAGACATATTTGTATAGTATTTGACTGCTAACACAGAATTGCAAATCTCAACATTAATATGGGAATTATACTTTGTAACCAAATTAGTATTACCTATCTGTTATCTAATTAAGCACCTCTAATTTTGACAAAACAGCCAGTATCTCTTCTGTGATAAATAAGATATCTATCATGACTTTTTTAAGTATTTTCTTGAAATGTGATAATGTTTTTGATATTTGCCATCTTTCATGCATGGTGCAGATGGATTTATATTACATCATAAACTATACATCATAGTATTTGCTATTGTCTCATAGGTAAGAGGATGCGTTACTAGGTCTGGAATCTTAGCAGAAAAAATAGAGTCATAATCATTTACAGATTGTAATTTATCTTCTGGTAATAGTATTAGCAGGATATGGGTATGAGGCAAATCATGTTTCTGAAATTCTACTACATTACATATATATGCAATAACTTTACCTAACCAATGTTTTTCCCACAGGTCTTTTAACAATTCTTATAGTTTTAGATGAAAGATGTGAGCTATTAAGTCAGGTTTATCAGCAGTATTCTGATTAGGTAATAATTCTCTAGTGACCTCTAGCCATTTTGGATTACACGTAAAAGTCACAAAAGATCAGGCTTTCCGAAACCCCCAAATTTTGAAAACATGGATTCAAAGTGACTTACAATGGCCATTGCATCCTGATATAGCTGATACATTGACGTGAACTACCAATAAAAGTGGATGGAAGAATCATACGATAACCAACATTATCGCTACTATCTCCAACATGTATTGCATCTACAGCACCTTGATAGAGTTCAGCACGAAGTGTCATTTGATTATGCCTAAGATAATTTAATTGATTCTGTTCTATTTTTGCATACTTGTCCACAATATATTGTAGATACAAATGTCCTGCATGTTGAATTCAATCACCATCTCGGATTTGCAATCTATAAGAATAAAATTGCATTGTCGTTACCCTTTTCCTTTTTACAGCTTCTACCAGGGGAATTTCTGCATGCCAAACATTATCACCTCTTAGGAATAGTAGTATATAGTAAAGAGCATCATATGATGGATGGAGTTCTGATATCCTTTGCAAACCTCCATCATGTAACCTAAGGAGAATATCTCGATTAAAAGGATTTATATCATATCCATCACTGATCATAATTGCAGCTACATCAGAAGCCGAACATTGTACTGATGGGGATCATGTGTTTGATCATTATATATTAACATGGAAATCTCAATAGCTTGATTTATCTGAATGAGATCTCTTATCTGGCGAAAATTCTGAATATAAGAATTGCACTGATTCAGCATATCTTGCAAATGTTGTAAAATGTCCTCATCCAATTGTTGCATGATGTTTTGTTAGTTTTGACTTTCATGTGCAGTATCATATACAGTATGTATAGTTGGGCAAATGTAGGCGAATGACCTTCATCTGGCAATAATTGACCGATACGATGATAGACTTGACCATGAATTCAGAAATTAGAGACACCGTGCTCTGAAATTCTTCATCGATATTTGCACCGAATGACGTGCAAGCAAAAATATTGTTATAAGCTCTAATGTTTACAAAAAGAATCTGCATTTGAAGCCGATGAAGTTTACAGATTCAATAGATATGGTGGGGGTTGAAGTAAAGGTGGTAAGTGGATTTTACCATTGGCACAACACATCATAAGTATTGGAGAAGTACAGCTGCTTTTATGATCTTTTTCTTTGAGCCAAAATTTGGAATCACAACGGTGACATTTCTGATCCATTCTTCTGAAATCATGACGTGTTACTTCTATTCTCTCTTCTGTATTATCATTCTTTTGTTTTTTTCTGGATTTACTTTTTCTCTCTCTGGCTAATCTTTTATTACGTTGTTCATATGTTTCATTTGCCTCAAACATTTCTCATATAAATGGCACTCGGGTTCTAGGCAAGGGTCAATTATCTTGCGCGTTAAGACATTACTCGTAAGTAACTTAACACGCGAATCTTTATCGCACACCTTGGTTTCATTATTTAAGGGCAAATATCATTTTTTTTATCATTTATAAACTTTTAGTATTCTTATTAGAGGATAATGCATAAATCGAAAGTTTCAATCATTACATAATAATATAATAATATAGAATGAAGAAAGAGTTATAAACAAATATGATCAGAAAAAAAGAGGTATGTTCCATTTCTAAAAAATCGAAAAAAATTCATATTAGATTTGATTTCAAATTTCAATTGATTGTTATATTATTAAATGAAATGGTTTATACTTTATTAAATTTTCTTACATCATAAATTATAGTCAGTAAGTTGTAGTCATTGATTTTTCTTTATGTACTCTAAAGTTTAATTAAAATAATGTATTATCATGCGATAATTATCGCTTTCGAAATATGTATCGTGATATTTTAAAGATGATATATTTTTTTGTATTACACCATAATATTATGCGTATCAAAATATTAAATTAATCGCGATACATATTTCGAAGGTGATATATAATTTTATTATAGCTAATTTATGGCAAAGTTTCATAATTCCGGGAAATTTTTCGAGTTAAATATTCAAATAACGTGACGGTTCATGATTTCTAAAAAAGAAACTTATGTCAGTCCAACAAACATCGAAGGTCCGAAAAGATATTACACAGGTGTAACGTTTCACAATTCGATTGACATTATTTATACAGGTACTCTAAACGTGACCGTGACACAGGAATTTTTTTATTATATATATATATATATATATATAGATAAAGATTATCATTAGAAAGTAAAATAAAATAACAGTAAAATAAAATTTTTTTCTAAAACTAGCAGGACTTTTAGGACCGTTTAGTCCAAGTACTTTGCTTCATCAACAACCAACAATGGAACCATCTTCTAGGCGCCCAATTCTTGTATGGTTGGTAACCACATACTGTCAACCATAGACGTCAGGTAAATTACTTACTATTATTATTAAATGTGATAATTGATTATCAATAATTTCTTAAAAAGGTTTTAAACGCTATTTACTTTTGACGACGCCCTATTCCTATATAGTTGGTAACCGTGTATTCATCAACTATAGACGTTAGGTCAGTTACTAGATGAAGAAAAAGTTATTTAGTAAATTTATAAAAACTTCAAGTTACTCCAATATAGTGGAAGACTATCTTCGAACACGCGCATATTATTTGTGATCGTTATGTAATTTTTTCTTTGTTATTTATGTTTGCATTAATTGTACCATGAGAGAAAAAAATATTATAATTTGATTAATCAACTCGCTAATTAACGCACGTGTTTCCTTTTTTGGAAATGAATTTCATAGGATTTAACGATTTTAATTTTTGTCTAAAATAATTTCGCCTAATTTTGTTTTATTAAAAGAAGATTTCGCGCTATATTCGCTACTCAAATATTATGTGTTGTGAATTATTTCAATTACTCCTTTTCAATCCTGTGCAAATTGTGCTAAAAAAATTGAAATGGAGCAAAACATTAACCACATTTCACCTGATAATACATTTTTAATAATCAATTTTTAATATTATAATTTGAATGAATCAATTGTAATCATAATATAAAAAATATAAAAGTACAATAATAGTATGGGAGAGAAATTCATCAAAAAAGTTTTGCTCAAATGAATGTGACAGCCTATTACTGCTCCTTCTTAATATTCTTATTCTTCAATTCCGACATTTAATTTCGGCACTGCATTTTGGACTTAAAAGAAATATAAGAAATACAGTATATAAAATTAACTAAGAGGTCGCAAATAAATCATTAATAATCTAGTGAATATTGAAGACAATAATACCTCATTGCCTTCCATGTAATATTACTGCAATACAAGTTATAAAGAAGAAAGGAAATCATAAATTATTAATTTTTTTTTTTTTTTAAAAAAAAAAAAAAAAAAAAAATACGGTTTTACCCTTTTAGATAGTCAACAGAGTCAATTGGGGAACAGCAAACGAAACGAATGCCAGATTACTTTTTCAATATTTTTCAGATAAGAAAAATGTGAAATAAGTGCGTTCATGATAGTCCTATTATTATATATTGATTATACTTAATTATACTAAAAAAAATAAGTCTGTGTAATTTTAACCAATCATAAATAAAATTTTACCTAAGAAGTTCTTTTATCCTAGATTCAAGGCAAAGTTGCATCAATGCCTATGACAAACCAAACCTAATCGGTTTAACCTTTCTTGCACATGCGAGATCTTTAGATATAAAATATTGTTAATTTGCAACCACTTCATAATAATATGACAAATATTATTGACTTACAGCATATCTGTCAAAATATTACCGCGAAATCATTATGATTTTTAATGGACCGTACAAACATGGGATTAAATTGCTAAAAAGGTTGTTTTATATGGAATAACACCTATGACATGACTAACCTTCAACTACTGATTCCGTTGAAAACCACGCGCTGTTTGCATTAAATCGCTAAAAAAAAATACTTAAACTTGAATTCTTCTTTTAAGTATCAGTTATGTATGTATTCACTAAGCAATAAATTGTTCAAATCACATGATTTATTTTATATTAATATGAAAACTTTAAATCACATCAAATAAAAATCTCCTAAATTATATTCTTATAAAAAATCGAAGATTCGATGCTTTCCATATCCTGACGATTCATGGAAATCAACACAACATAAAAATTTTTAGCGCGATGATGGTTACATAGGATTACTTAAATAGATAACCTTTTATATATTTATTTTATTTTAGTGTGATTAGGATATGGGATTAGAAATCTCAAAAAGACAAATTCACGATTGTTATAAGCAATCCGTCACGCATGAAAAAAGTCACGTGAAACGATAATTGGATTACCCAACAACATATGAAAGAAACAATTCCGAAGCAGATTTGCATTAAAGCAGGACGATAGTATCCAGGTTAGATTTTATTGTATAGGAAAATACAAAAATATTTACAATCTGAATATAATTTCGCACTATCGGTGACGACATCCTCTATAGCACAAGGAATAACTATTCCTTCGAGAAGGCCATCGAATTTCTTGCTGGCTGACACGGACGACATAAGGACCTGTGATTTTAGAAATTTATTAATGATATTCATTAAATATAATAAAATTCATTAAATTTCACTAAAATATACCTATTTTTTTTTTTTTTTACTTCTCAAGTTTTTACATTGAATAACAAATCGGATATTTGAAATACGCCAGAGTGTATCTTTCCCTTTGTCATCATGCTTCTATAAAAATATAAAATAAAAAAATGAGCAAGTGCGTCGTCATCATCAAAAAATCAAGATCATTTTTTTTATGTCACGAAGCAACCTACCACGCGTCTAAATCTAGAACCTTTGGCCTTCACGAGAAATCTATCATTCGAAAAGGCCACGACGATACCGATTGTCCTGTCTGGTTGTCAGAAGAGCACCTCATCCATCTCTCGTATGATCCTGAAATTTTAGAAATTTTATTAAATGATATTCATTAGATATTATAAGTTTTAATTAAATTTCATTAAAACATACCTATTATTTGTACTTTTCAAGATTTGCATTGAATAACAAATGGGATATTTGAAATACGCCAGCGATATCATTCCCTTTGTCACCACGACCTTTATGAAAATATAAAATAAAAATGAGTAATTTGCGTCATCATCATCAAAAATCAAGTAGAACTGATTTGTATTCCTATTCACTACAA